AGTTTCCACCGATGACGTTAGGTAATGTTTTCGTAAAAATATTAATATCCGATGTGAATCCACTGAAGTTAAATGGTTTGTAATGTTCGAAATTTACAAATATTCCTGGTCCAATATCTAAAGTTTTCCGATTAATAAGCGTTATAAGAATCACAGTTATAGCACACTGACTATAGCGAACTAATAATAGATACTGTCTTTGGCGCGTCGCGCTGGTCATATTTATAGGCGGTTGGAGGCTTTCTAGAAATTTCAGTTTTACGTAACAATACAAATTTAAGCGTTCATGTACACACATATGTTGTTAATTCTTACTCTCGAGAATCTTCTGCAACTTTGGAGAATAGGCGGGAGTTTCATAATACATATTTAACAGTATAAGCTTTGTATGTTTCTAAATATAAATTTAATCTAAACAAACATTGATATTCAAATAAATTCGTTACAACTCCCTCCTTAGAGAATTAAAAATTGGCATTAGACAATTTTCAACTAAGATGTTATATATATATCCACATACATTGGCAACAATACATTATATATAATACATTATTCAAAGGATCATACAATTTCAATGATAATTACAGTATAGAATACAACCAACACAAACAACCTTATGATCGTAAAATTATGTAGCACATGAAAGTGCATCAGTACAAATGTTATCAACCCCTTGGACATGGATTATCCCAAATCATACTCTTGTAGTGATAAACTGCAATTTAACAGTCTTATGTTTTGTTTTTCTTTTATTTATTTCTTTCTTTGTCTCTTTCTTTCTTTCTTTGTCTCTTTCTTTCTTTATTTTTCTTTCTGTCTGTCTGTCTTTTTCTTTGTGTCTGTCTTTTTCTTTCTTTCTTTCTTTCTGTCTCTCTTTTTCTTTGTGTCTGTCTCTTATTTTCTTTCTTTATTTTTTTATTATTAGGTATCCCATAGTGGGTAAGAATACAAAGACCATGTCCTCAGGATGGAACTTACGTTCTTCAAAAGCTGGGATAGGTTTCAAAGGAGCAACAGGAATTTTCTGGTTAGGTTTTCCGACCAACTGACAGGTATAACAAGTTTTACAAAACTGAGAAACGTTTTGCCTAATTTTTGGCCAAAAGAAATGTCTCATAATTTTGTCACATGTCTTGTTGACACCTAAATGACCTCCCATGAGGAGTTCATGGACAACTTTCAATATTTCAGAACGATATGCTTTGGGAACAACGATTTGATAAACAATAGCCCAGTCCTCTGAAGCTGACGCATCTGGTGGTCTCCATTTTCTCATAAGCATAACCATTTGGAACCTTCTCCAGTTCATCTTTTAGAAGTACATATTTAAATAATAAAGATATCTGCAGATCTTTCTCTTGCTCAGCTATCAGTTTACTTTTATGGTGACTTCAATGTGTAAAAAGTTGAGACACACATTTATTTTCTACGCTTTCATAAAAGAATTACAGTACTTACTTTAAAGAATAAAAAATTTAAACTATCCGAATCTTACAAAAACATTTACTCATCACGTAATGTTTTAATTATAAGTCAAGCATACGAGGATAATCTTGTTATAAGTATAAAAAATGAAACCAAGTTTCTTGGAATTTTAATCCTTTTCCAGTATAGACCAATGAGTTCATTTATAGAATTAACTTCTCCTCATAAAGATCCAATCACGTGGAATTTTGTTGTAGATCCTTTGAATTGATCTCTAGCATGCTATATATCATAATGCCACTAGTTAGCCCCACCGACACAGTGGCATGTCTGCAGATTTATACTGCTAAAAAAAGGGGTTTCGCTAGCTGTGGTGGACAGAACACAGATAGACCTTTGTGTAGCTTGGTGTTTTATAACAAATAACAACAGCCACTAGTTAAAACTATCCATTATCTTAGTAAATGTTTAGTTAGAGTAAATGTGCTTTAGACTTGCATATATAAGTTATATACAGTAAACAGAATTATTTACAATTGTACGATATTGTTAAAAAAGAAGTTATAATTACCATATGCCTCATCAGTTCTAGTGGTTTGAATTGTCTAAGTTGGTTGACAAGTGTTGGTATTCAAACTTATATTAGAAAATGCGAGAAATTTGCTTAAGTGAGTGGAATTTTGTATTACAGTAAGTCATTCGTTGAGAGAAGTACAATGGTTACTATCTTTAGTTATAGCAAAAGGATTTACTACTGTATTAACTAGATGGTAAAATTAGACACAGGGGCTATATTACTACAAATTTGCATTCATAGTTTAAGATGTATATATACATATAAACCGTAAAGACAAACTGTACATCATTATAGTGTTTTTCAAACGAGACCTAAAACTTGGGTGCTGTCGAATAGTTAACCATTATTCTTCAGGAGAATAAAGGGTTATCTTTAATGAGTGGAATGAATTATATACACATTGATGTCGACGTAACGTAAACAGGATGTTCAATATGAGAACTAGCCAATCATAGGCTAGAGTTGTTGATATCAGGTTTAGTTTGTGCCAAAGAGGTGTGTACAGTACATAAATAGTTACAAAAAAAAATGTTAATAATCAACTTTTATAAAGATAAAATTAAGATAACTGTAAAAGGTAAGAAATAGAGAAAATTATAATGTGACGTAATATATAGGAAATAACGCCAATATTGAAAAATTAAAAGATGAATAATACTAATAATTTAAAGAAAGTTTAATTATGAAGACACTAACTAGCGACACACGCGTTATATGTAAAACGATACGAAATATACCTTCAAGATATTATACCTACAAGGTAGAGATATAATTGTAAAAAGTTATGCAAATTAGATGAAACTAGTTTTTAGGCTTCGATTATTATCGAAGTGAAACTATAAAGTTGATGACGTAATCAGATGTGTTATATATATATATATATATATATATATATTTACCTATTTTACCTTTTTTTTATTATTACAATTCTGTCTCTTTAATTCTATAAAGGTCTATAATATCTCCGTCCGTACTATTTCCTCTAGTGTACTTCTGTAGATTTACAAGTACCACCACCCTTTCGCACTACTGTTTGTATGCGATAAGTTTACAAATTTCCTTATACAACTAAGGGAAATCTTAACACACGAAGTATACATTTTATTTGATTGACAAACGTTTCTAATTAGCTTTTTAAAATACTCCCGTTATTTATTTATTTTTAAATCAGACGTCCATTATTATTTATAGTACAGTTTGTAAGATATACCAACTATTTAATTCGGTAAGTTTGTGAGATGTTAAGTGTGTTATTACCAATGCGATATACAATTACAACAGAAACAACTGTTCCATCTCTGAATACAGAGAGATGCAGAACAATCTAAATCAGCAGTGTACGTATTATTAGTGTCGTTAGAAGTACATGGTGTACTTTCTATCATAAAAGAACGCTTTCTAACAGAAATCATGTTTCATCTATTTTATTTCAGTATGTACAGGCTTTAAATAAAAGTGAAGGAGATTCATATTTCGCTTTTCTTTTAGTCAGATAAAACATTCATAAAACCTAAATACTTTACAATAACTTTGTTATATCTGACTTAATGGAACTGGTTTAAAAACGAGCTAGTCTTCTCGAAACAGCCAGCTGCACACGAAATGAGAAGATGTATCACATAAGGAATATAAATCCGATGACGAGGAACCCACTTTTGAGACTAATAATGCCGTCCCCAACCATTATTAGAATATAAATCTGTTCTCTATACTCTGACCAGCAGAGGGCGCGTCTCTTCCTTTTCTTCAGTACTTCTGCAAGACACAAAAATAACAATATTATTACTAATATTATTACAGAAACGAATACTTCTTGTTAATAACGCGTATTTGAAAGTGTTATTTGAAGGTCATTAAATTTGAGTTAAACTAACTCTTTCTCCTAACATAAACTAGTTGAATAAATTACGATTTATTTGTACAGCAACATTTAGAAGTAGTAGGAAGTTACGTACTTTCCAAACGCTTCGCCTTCCTCCAGCGTGTCAGGTAGAGGCAGATTGTTAGTTTCTGGGAGCATAATGACAGTAAGGCCGGCAACTACAGACATTATTCCAAAAATCGCCAAAGGAACTCCTGGGTTAGTAGCCGTTCCCTAATATACATAAAATATAATTTATAGAGTTAGAACAACATAAAAAGCAACAAAGAAAAACAATAATAATAATACGAGCAAAATGAACTCGCACAAAAAAATAAAATAATTAAGGTATTAACAAAACAAAAAGACAAATTAGAATTTAGTACTTTCATCACCCACCCCTCCCCCAAATAGCATAATGTTACATCGGAATATTAGGAAGTTTGAAAATGGAAAAGTAGAGCTGGCACAAGTTTACTTACTATTTCTTTCACGAATGGGGCAACAATAGAACCAATCCGAGCGAAGGTGGAACTAATGCCGATTCCAATGTTTCGCACCACAGTCGGGTAAATTTCTGCGGAATAAACGTAAATTGTTGCGAAAGAAGCAGCTATACAGAACTTTCCCATCATAGCTACAGTGATCCTCATCCAAATCAAGTCTATATAAAAAAGAAAATACACATTTATTACAATAACAAAGGGTCCGACGAGTGATACTACAAGTAATAGACAAAAAAAAGCAGCCTAAAGTTAAAAGATCCAACACCAACTCAAAAATGTCAGTTTTAATTCATTTGAGGGCACAAGTTGAATGCATGCCAACGTAATGAGTTCACGATTTAAATACTTTGGGACAAATTGTAGTACCGGGTACTGTAGTAGAAATGTAATGGCATTTCTTACCTTTTGGGACAGGTATGGATAGCAGACAACCCAGACCACCTAGCATCATGGTTGCAATGAGAGGCTTCTTACGACCCAGATACTTCAGAGTGAACATTGTGACTAGAGTCGAGGGGAATTCTACAATTCCAGCGATTAAGAAGTTTACAAAAGCGCTTCCCCCAAGGTTGTTAGTGTTAAAGGATAATCCAAAATACACGAAGGCATCTACGAACCTATGAAAAATAGAAAATATGATCATTAGCCATTTTCAAATTTTCACACATTCCAGCAGATGACATATGTGCTGCAAGAAATCCACGACTATTTGTATGGTCCCAGCATAGAGAGAAGTGATTAGATATAGTTTACAATACTTATGAGAGACTGAAAAGTTTTATAGAAATATTTTGAAACTTACCAATTTAAGTAAATAATTAGAGTTTTCTTTCTCATATTCGGAGTTTTCAACAAGTCTAGAGCCGTTCCTTTGTTAGAACTGCCATTTTCCTGTTAACAATAAAGAATCATTAGTTTGTTTCCTAGTAACAAATTTAAAAGTTAGCCATTTTGTCAGTGAATTTTTTTTAAAAACAAGCTGTTACTGCAAATGTAAAGAAAACTTGATTGAGGGACACTAACGTAGAGAGCTTTCCAAGAGGAAGTATCGTAATTATAGGTTAAACTATCGCAAGATTTGGGGGTGTGGGGTTAAGAAGTCTAATAGTTGATGTTTACTTTAAGGTGTACATAGTGTTAATTACGTTTTTATACCTTTGCAATTAAATCACACAGAATTCTTAATTTCGATCTGACGGTAGCGACGTCCCTTCCATTTTCTTTAGCTGCATTTTCCAACACTTTTTCGGCTTCGTCACTTCTGTTATGAGTTAAGAAAAACCTGGGGGACTCAGGAAGAAGCCTAAACAGAAAAAAAAAAGACAGACCATTTGTAACAAAACTCAAAGCGAAGACTTGAAAAAAAAAAAAATTCAGTGTTTGACATTTACTTTACATCCAAAGAACATGTCTATTTTAAAGTTAATTGCTAATAATGGAACCAGATTAAGTCACAATGACCAAACGTACCACCAGTAGGCAGCCAATGACAACCATGGAAGACTAATAGCAAGCTGGAGAACCCGCCAGTCTCGGATAAACCATGCCAAGCCACTTAACAAAACGTAACCCAAAGCCCAACCAAACTGTATTCCAACTCCGAGGATGGTCCTTTGTTGCGGTCCGACTACTTCCATCACTGTGCCATAAAAGAAAATAAGTTTGGTTAGTAACTTTTAGTGATTAGAGAAATTACACTGTGTTACGTAAGAGTTAAATATTCAGATACATTTGTTGAAAAGAAAGGGTTTGAAAAAAAAAAGTAACACACATTGGCTTTGCAAAATAAGAGCACACAAAACCAGAAGCATTTTAAGATGTATTACTCTTATTACGTTACTCGGATGAGTTAATAGTCTATAGACATTGGAGGTATGAAACAAGTGATACAATAAAAACTCTTAACGCAGGAGCAGTTAAAGTCACATTGATAACTTACCCAATACAAAAGAAGTTGTTGCTCCTCCTGCTGTTCCAACAGCGATCAAGAAACGCAGGATACTAAATACAAGGAAGTTGGGAGAAAAGGTGCACAGTATTCCGAAAACATTCGTCAGGACGATACAGATGAGAATAACAGGGCGACGTCCGTACCTAGTGTCAAAAATTTACTTAGTAACTGACGAATACATTACAAAAAAAAATAAAGCTTAGAGAAACAAGACAGCATAAGTGATTAAAAAACACTAGCTTAAACATTACTTCCCCCTTTTCTTTAAAAATATTATCCAATGTTAATAATCTTGTGCACCCAGAACCAAAATATAGGTACAACCTCATGTTGAAAGTTAAAAGGAAAAATAATAATAATTAATGCCTCCAAGTATTTACTTGTTCTTTGCAAACAAAAGGTTAAATAATGACCATTGCGTGCAGGAAGTACGTCTTACCTATCTGCCATCTGGCCGAAGACCAACACAGCTACCAGAAATCCACACATGAAGACAGACTGACTCATCGACACCAGCCACTCTCTATCACATACCAAGTTCCACTGAAACAAAAAAAAAACAATTTAGAAGACAAGACTTCGCAAAGAGATAGGAGCATTTTCTGGAATGTTACTAGTTAAGACGACATGAATATTAAAATGAAATTACCTCACTAACAATGGTCGAGGTGAACAAAGAGTTATCATAGTCCCAGTCCTTGCAGAAATCAATGTTTCCTACATTCGGTTCGAGTCCTGGAGCACTTATGTTTCTTCCAGTTTTGACGTACATCTTACATTTACTGAACAATTGTTCACCCCGATCCATTTCCAGGGGAATGTTCTCAGATTTCCACTGGCTTAGCGTCCAGTTGGAGTCCAGGAGAGTGCGTTTACACCAGTGGTCAACATTTGGAGCAAGAAATGTCATCACCAACGTGTGCCAGCAACTCGGTATTTGTAAAAGAAATGCCAAGATAAAGACCTTCCTTTGCCAACGTCCATCTTCTCCTACGATGTCACTAATTTGACGAACCTCTTCTTGGTGGCGCTGCTGATCCACTTCGGAATTCATAGCGAGATTACCTTAGAAAGAGACAGGAAAAACGAAAAGTTAGAATTTTTGATCGCTTTTAATAGTACCATTTCCCAAATAAAAACTTAAAGCTGGTTTTTGTTGTTATGCACCAAGCTACACGAAGGGATATCCGTGCTCTTCCCACCACTGGTATCGAAACCCGGTTTCTAGCAATACAACAAGTCCGCAGACATATTACTGTGGCTTTAAGCACTTAAAACGACGATTCATTAAAAGTTAACTTCCACCATATGCATTACAATTAAACTTATTTGTAGAATGTACAGTTTAACACAACATGAAACTTAAGACACCATTGGTTTGTAGTTAGAACATTAACAACAACAACAAAAAAAGTTCAACTTCCGTTACGAAAGTTCAGTTTTGAACTTACTTTCGCCAGTACGTAAAAGCTTAGAGGAACACTAAGTGACCTTTTCTTTCAAAAAGTTAGTTTTAAGAAACTTATTGCTTGTAAGAACATTAATTATTAACAATTTTAAATGTTCCGCTAAAATGCACATTTTGATTCACTAAGGATACGCCACAAATTCTAAACTTCAATCAGTAAATTTTTTTCATTGTACAAAAACGTAAATACACATTTATGTTTACTAATAAGTGTAAACTTTAATTACTTACAAATTTCAGTGCTGATCTTCTACTACACCCACCAACCCAAATCTCCAGTACTTATATAATCCTTTCTACTTCTTCTATACAGCTATTCCTAATTCTGATTGAGTTCCTGTTGCAGCTGACTGGATTTTATAAGCGACAGGCGAACCCCCCGAGGATCCAAAAGGTCTGTAGCTCGCTGGATAAAACCGGTCTTGGTCAGTTTAATTAAACAAAACGTGTTGACTGGAGGCGCCACTAAGTAACTGTAAATATTTTTGGTTGTATTTACTATAGTCAGAGCTTTCCTGACCTTAAAATGACCGAAGTGTGACTTTTAAAATGTAAAATAAAGTCGTACAATTCTTTTGTTTTCTAGTTGATATAAATAAGTGTGCATGAGAAGTAGAATGGCATTATTCTCTCCAAAACGCAAGTAATTTTTTCAAGTTTTAACTTGTTAATTATCAATGCAATCGCATAGAAAATCGAATTCTCTTATGTGTTATTCAAGAATATTTAAGGAAAAACTTGCACCTACTTATTCCCTCGCAGTAGCTATTGGGTTTCGTATGGTAATTATAACATTTTGCAAATTATTACTTTAAAATATATTCGTTTCAATAATTTTACGTTGTCGTGTTACAATATTATTTACATAATGATTACACAGGCCTGCGATTGTTTGATTGTCTTCAAATGTTCTACAGTAATTCATGTACGCTGAATCCGAAAATGATATCCATTTTTCTTCATCGCGTACAGATTTTTCACAAAACGTCATAACGCAATATATAAAAGAAATACCACAACACGTAGTTTTGAGACTAAATGACGTAAATCTAAAAAAAAAATCAGAATAAACGAGAATGCATATTCGTTTGACAACAATGTTTTTCCCTTTTCTTCAGTTTGTT